TTAGGGACATGGGGTTCCTTCCCCGTGCACGGCCGGCTTCCCAGCCAATGCACCAATTTGTCATGGAGCGGGGTCTTAGGGGTAGCCGTGATCTCCCCTGGTGCCCCCTACCATGCCAAATTCATCTCAAAGCACCCTCATTCTCTCCTGCCACGTCTTGATCTTTTATATATAAGGGAGGCTGCTTTTCATCCCCTTGGACATGGTGCTCTGTTGTATCCTGGCCCCTGTTCTGTACTGTGCGACTCAGTGCAGCCCAGCCTTATGGGCTACGCATGGCTCCAACCACCCCTTTACTCAACCTCACTGATATCCCAGATGTTGTTCGGTCTGCCTGGCACTCTGCACCCTCTCTGGTGCTTGGGCTCTCCGCGGCCCTTATTTCTCACCGTGCCCTCTGGTGCTTGGGCTTTCCACAGCCCTTGTCTTGCAACTGCGCCCCACAGGCGCTCTGGCTTTCCGCAGCCTTGTCTGAGCCACACAGGTGCTCTGGCTTTCCGCAGCCTTGTCTCGCAACTGCGCCACACAGGTGCTCCAGCTTTTCGCAGCTTTGTCTCGCAACTGCGCCCCACAGGCGCTCTGGCTTTCCACAGCCTTGTCTCGCAAATGCGCCACACAGGCGCTCTGGCTTTCTGCAGCCTTGTCTGGCTGCCCCTTTGCTCTGGGGCCTCCTCGTGCTGCCCCCTTTGCTCTGGGGATACCGCAGCCTTGGGGCTCAGGTGGCCGTAGCCATGCCTGGCCCCAACTCTCCTCCTCAGGGTCTCGACCCCCTGATGGGCTCAGGCGGCCTCAGCCTTACCTGGCCTCCAATTCTCTGCTCCCCTTCTCAGGGCTGGGGTCAGTGCACCCCCAAATGCTGTGCCCTCTCTGGCGCTGGGGTTTCCCATGCTACCGTGGAGACCTATGAGGCCGCCTCCAACCCCTAATAGCCTCACCCAACCCACTGGTTGTAAACAATAAACCATCAATACAAACTCAAGCCCCTTGGCTGCAACATAAATTCAAGTCTCTTGGCTATAACATTAGTCCTGACACATCAGGGGTGCTCTATCCTTCCCTCAGTCTTGAAGGTGTACCTGCAGTCTAGCCTCTCCTCTTTGTCCAGTCTGGCAGAGCTCCTTCCTCTATGGCTGCTGGCAGGGAACTGCCTGCCTGGCCCCAGCCTGGATTTAAATGAGAGCCAGGCCCAGCCTGTTCCAGTCAGCTGACTCACCGGTTTCCCTGGCAACCTGCAGCTGTGCTTCTTTATTACTACTGTGGCTGCCCTGGTAACCAGCACCTGGGCTCCTTACTTGCTGCTCCACAAGTAGCAGGCACCTCAGTGCCCTGCTATGCACCTCCCCTCTTTATAGGAACAGAGCACCGAGGTGCTCTGTGACACCATGACTATTCCATCTTCAGGTTGGGGGGAAGGAACACCACTGAACCCCACCTTTTACAGTTCCATTAAGTCATGACAGGTGAATTGGGGGGCCCAGACCACAGAATGGGAACATACTCACAGTGCCAGCTGGGGGCGCCATATGTATGCATGCGAAAATGGGCTTGAGCTTCTATTTTCTTCTTGGTTTGTGAGGTAGCTGCTATTAACATCTGTTTCAGAGTCGGTTTAAGATTCCATCAGATATTGGTGCTTTTTTTAACCAAATCACTGAGATATATTGCTTTATCTGAGCCTACATCTATCAAATGCTAAATATTATGGCAACATTTTTAGAAGTGCTGAAGTCCAGGCTTAGCTAGCAAAGTCCCATTAGCTTCCGGTGGGACTTCAGATCCTTCGGCACTTTTGAAAATTTGCCTTTAGGCAGCTAAAGACCTGTGGCCCAAAAAGCATTCAAACTAAGGGGCCAAACCTAATTACACCCCTGTTTGTGTGGTATGGTCCAACTTAATGATTAGAAAATCACAATATTTAGAGCAGGAAGATGCTTCCAGATGGTGCTTGGGCTTTAGGGGTCTGACTCTCAACTCAACAGAGCCAACCCTCTTCAAGGACTTCTACAGCTGAGTAGATCAAACAATGCAGTGATGGCTTCAATTAATGTATTTCCGACTAATAGTAGCCCTAACTTAGCTCAGTTCATTATTGATCAGTTGAGTTTAACGTGTTGATGATTTAAGAGCATGTCTATATGTGATGCTATGTCACCATAGTGACGCATTACAGAGATGAAGCATCCATGGCTATCTATGGATCTAACAGGCACACTCCCTGTTATAACACACGGTGATGGCTAAGTAGCTGCTAAAAATAGCTGTGCACCTCAGATACAGCACAGTACAGGTGGTTACTGTGCCATGCTTTAGTACTCCCAAAAGGAAGTACTAAACCATGGCACAGTAACAACGTCACCATAGGGCAATGTGTAGATGTGCCCTAAATGTCTTATCTCCCTGACCAAGAATAATGATGGAGAAGGGGGAGGGAATGTAAGTGTGGAGGATGTTGAACACATTCTCTATTGCAGAGGGGAGGAAGGGAAATTTGGGGGATCTGGTGTGTGAAGAGTGAAGCACTCAGAGCCCCTCAAATAGAAGAAAAGGGCCATGTATAATGGGGTACACACACAGTCCTGGGAATGGAGGAGAGATTGAAGGGCTCTACTTTAAGGGGCATAGGAGAATGGGGTGCACACTTAATCCCTGTCATGGAAAGAACCAGCAAAGGGATACACATAAAGCTTCTGTCAGTGGGCAAAAATGTGGAACCCTGGCATAGAATCTCTGGCATTGGAATGAAATTCTGTGCAGAAAGTCCCTGAAATAGATGAGGAAGGATGGTCGCGTACAGGTAGCTTGTGGGGTGCTTTTGCAATATTAAACTCTGCAATGGAAGAATGTAAGGAGCCCCTGGTGTATGCAATAACCCAGTTTACAAAAACTATTATATCTGTTTCTGCTGATCTAATCTAGCCTGGTTTTGGAGATGTAGGGTTGACATGGACCATATTTTCAAACGTTTCCCCTGTCTCTATTAAAGCTGAAATTTTCACAGTCCCTTGACTCCTGTAACTATGGCTTTAACCAAGACACCAATATTGTAAGATTCACAATAGCATCATGAGAGCTGGCAGCACTGGACTTTTGCAGGTGGTACTCAGCATCTTCCAGGGCCAAGTTTTATCTCGTTCCTTCTCTAGTGTAATGTATTCATCAACCTTTATGACAAGAGCATAGGCTAAAAAAAAGTCCTATTACTAAGGCATCATTTCATTAAGCTTCGGTTCTTTGTTGTTATAGCAACTGTCTAGATAGGTGGCCTGATACGGAATTTGTAAGATCTGTGATTGCAGAAAAATAGAGCAGTAATTTAGTTTCTGCTCTAACTCAGTTTGCTTTTATTCCCTTCTCCTTTTTTTGTTTTTGTTTTTGTTTTAGTTAAATGGCTCTGTTTCTGCAAGGTATTGCTTAGATACCAATGTCTTTTACTCAACAAAGCAGTCATCTTAATGTTGTACAAGGAAAACTTTATCACCTATGTAGGTAAAGCTATGAGATGCACTCTCACATATAGTTCCACTTTATTGGTAACAGTAATTTAGGTAGAGTTCTGTATAGCTCTTTATATCATATATATCTAAGCTGCCTAGAAAAGAAATACAATATATTTCTGAGGGTGTGGACAGACAGATAAACTATACCAGAGAGTCGACTAACTGTATACTAGCTTCTTCTGGTAACTCTTTCCTGTGTGTGCTTTGACATTTGGTAAGTGGAAGCTAAACTTGGGAAGCTTATCCCTGGATAAAACAGGGATAAATTACCATGATTTAGCTACACATGAACAGTTACTACTGTAGAGTAGATAATGTGCTAGCCCCCCTTCTGCCTTTAACTTAATGCTGTGTGTTCATCTGTCATCATTTTGGGAGATTTTCTCTTGATTGGACAAGTATGAAAGTCCTGCCAAACACTATCTGTAGTGTGTTCTGTGTACCCTCTGATGGGAAGTGCTTTACAAAGCTCAGAACACATCAGGTGGCTTGGTACACATGGAGTTACTGAAACAGAGTAAGCTGCAAAAAAGTTATATTACTTTTTTCAGGAATCACACCAGGTGTTTCTAGCATTGGCAGGAGAAGACTTAAAACAGCATCCTTGGCTTTAGGAACAAGGCCATCTAGATATCTCTCCTTCTTAGGATATCCAAATGAGCCTAACAGTTAGACTCTCTGAAAGTCTCGTTGTTCCTCTCGTGCTCTCTCTCTCACACACATCCTTTCCTTCAATCAGAACATTCCAGACTCTCTTTCTCTCATGCTGCTATAGGCCCAAATCCTCATTGTGTCCTCCAATGGAACCACCCCCATTTTTGGTACAGCACCCCACCACCCCACGTCTCCCTCTCTTCCTCACCCCCAGCTGGCTCCCGGGACTCAGTCCCAGGCAGCCTCCCCCCCCCCAAACACACCCTCCATACAACCCCCATTACCTTGGCCCCAAGCTGTCATTGCTTCATGACCTGGCCCCATGATCCCAGCCTCGCCCACCCATCCCACTCTTGAACACTGTTCCCTACCCACCCAGAGACCCATAGGAAATTTGGTGAGTTTGGGGCGGGGGGGAGGGGATGGTGTTGACCCAACTCACAACAGCTCATCAAAACTCCCTATGTGGCCATTGGGCCCAAATAATTGCCTACCCTTGGTGCTCGTGAAAGCAGCACACAAAATGAGGGCAGAGCAGCCCTTACACCAGGAGTGGACAGGTAGTACCATAGGAAAAGAATTCTGCTCTGTTATACCAGTAAAAAAGGGAGGCTTCTCCAAAGTCAGTGGAAGCTTAATCTGAATGTATAACTTATATCACTGTAACGGCTTTGATTCCAGATGGCCCCGCTCCCAGTTCCTTGATCATACTACCAGGACACCTCAGTGAACTGTAAGGCAGAACAGCAACCTTGATAGATTTTTGTATTCCTTACCAAGATCAGATCCAGTACTTATAAAGCATTATATAATTTATGACATATGTGAGACATGCTTTTTCTTTTTCAGGTAGTGCATTTATTTCAGTCTTGTTCCTAAAAGAAACCATGAGGGCTGCTGATATATTGGGTAAGTAAGCAGTTGCTAACATAAGCATGTGTGGTACCATATGCCTAGCAAGCTGTAACCCTCCAATTCCTCTCCTTCAGCACTCCCACTTCCCCCCTCCAAGCATTTCAAGGCATATACAGTACTTTCAAAATTGGGCACAAGCGACAAGAAAGAAAGAAAATTGTATTTACATCTGAATATGAGAGTGATGTAAAATCTTTTGCACTTACAGCTATAACTGAACATATGTATATGGATTATCTTAAATTTATTTTTGTTGCCTATTTTTAACTCTGAGGGATAATTAGTATTACATTTGTGAACTCAAGGAAATTTCAGGAGAAAAGACAAGGCAATCTAATGAACTATTCATTTAAATTAAAAGATTTCACTGCAGAGATATTACATAAAGTAAGTTCAATTGAAAATGACAGTGCCTACTCTTTTGGTACAAATTTAGTCACTTCAAAGAGCAGATGATCATGTTGTCAAATGCTTTATCAGGTAATATGATCTTTGCTGCAAAAGCAAGTAGGCTTTCTGGCTACATTGTTGAATATCACAATGATCTTGCTCAAGAATTTTAAAAGAAAAAGACAAGCAAGTTTCATGTTTTGTCTTTTAAATCATGCTCTTGTGGGCAGGCCACAAACAGGGCTATTGTACCATCAATTTTTTGTGGGGGACTACATGGCTAAGCTGATCAGGATTTATTCTGCCGTGTGATAAGAGCACCACAGCTGTTCTTGTGAACATTTTGGAGAAAGATGCTTGGTCCCATTCCGACAATATTTATGTTTTGTATCCAAGTCTGCCAACTTGGCTGATACACTGAGAATTCACCCCTCAACCACTCACGTCTCCGCTCCCCCCTCCATCTTATGCATCACACATTGCTTTAACTAACTCTTAACACTGATTTATTTTATTTCTCTGAGTTTGACTTCGCAAGGAGGATTTAACAATGTTGCTACATTCCATAGGAATGAGCTGTATAATGGGAAATATGGTGATGTTTTTGCAAGCACATAAATATAGAACAGTTCTGCTTTTCCAGAGAAGCTGTGCGCTATAGCAGTGCCAGCAATGTCCTCCTGATGTGCTTTGTTTTGTGTTCTTGAACCTCATGTTCCCTATTGATTTATTGATTTGCCAAGAATTTTTAAAGATTACTTCAAAAAATTGATTAGCTAATATCATACCTAATCCAATACAGTTTATGAGCTCAGGACCAGCCCCCTTGCATCTCCGTACCTCTGTGCACATCTGTGTTTGTCAGCTGGCTGTCCACAGGGCAGATGTTCCAGGTTTTTATTAAAAGCACAATAATGCAAGTTTGACCTTGAAAGGGGCCCCTACAACCAAATGGCTGACTATCCTCTTGCAAATCGACCTGTTATAAAACAATTGTTGGTCTGTGAGTATCGCAGGGAGTGGCTTCAGGGCCAGTCTTGAGGTTGGAACATATCTGTTGCACTTACTGCCTTAGTGACATCAGAGGAGTTACGCTGATTGACACCAGCTGAAGATCTTGTCCTTTGTCTCAATAAACAGCCTATCATTTTAGTCATTGATGACTTGTGGGAACCAGCTGTAACTGTCAGAAACATGGGACATGATTCTCCTTTGTTTTGCCTTTGCTTGAAGTTAAGCCCACTTAAAGATGTCATGCAGACTTAGGGACTTAATTCAGCACAGTGTAAAACTGTGCAGACAGCTTTTGTCTGCATTCTGAAGGGATTCCTTGGAATTTGCCTGGAGTTTATTTTAAAATTGCATTAGTTAGGGCTCCAGATATGGGCCATCCAGTTGCCTCATGATAGAGCTGATTCAGTGGACTTCATTTTATGCTAGGAATTCTTTTTAAATAGACCGAGAGGGTAAATTAGACAATGGTTATGTGCACTGTCCATGTAACATGTGGTTTTTGTTTTTAAAGGTGGAACTCTGACAATCGTAGGAACATATCTGTTGGTAACCTTTGCTCCAAATATAACCCAGCAGCTCACAGCAAGAAAAATACAGAACTACTTAGTTAGCTGGCAGTTCTTGATCTGTGTGGTGAGTTTTTTTGTGATTCTCTAAGTCAAAATATCTTGACTCTTTTTGTTTTGCAAAGCAAGTTCCAGTGTCAAACTGCTACCCTTGCAACAAATTATTTTGAATGTACTGGTCATAGCCATATGCTGCAGATCAGCTCCTTGCAAGTTTTTCCCTTCTCTGTCTCTGGGGTTCAACAGAGCCTGACAGCTCTACTACTATGAATTGTTAATCAAAATTTGAATTTGATTTCAAATACCAAAATCCCCCTTTGATTAGAGCTGGAGTGTACAAAGCTTCAAAATCTACCCAAGTTCTTTGATGCATTCTAATTAGCTTCAGGAACAAGAGCAGAGTGAGTAGGAGGACTATGTCTGCATCTCTTTCCAGAATGCAGAAAAATAGCTGCTTTCACTGGAAGTAGACTGTAATATGTAAGCTCCAGAAACCTAGACTTTTTTCCCTGGAAAATGATTTACTAGGGTTATTATTGATATTTGTACTTCAAAATGCTCTGCATTCAATAGGAGGAGACTTCAGGATGCCTAGTTAAAATATTTAGAGCCTGACTAGCCCCCTGGCCTCACCCCATGGCCTCACCTATTCCCAGCCAGTTTGCTAACTTACAAAACACAAGATGGGAGATCTGTAGATGGGACTATTGATTAATTATTAAGTACAAGACAACACTAAATAGCAGTTCCTTTTTTTAACAATCTATCAAAAGTGTATTTTCAACGCCCTTGAAAGATGGTGATAAAGAGCAGGAGAAGAGACTAGGAGTTTCTTTCCATGCATCAAAATGTGTTTTTTTAATCATGTAGTAGAATTATTTCCAAGACCCTTTGTGGAGACTCAGTTGTACAAGGGGATGAGAGTGTTAAGAATTAAGTATCCTGTTTATAGCATTAAAACTGGGCCCTTCAATAGTTTTCAAAAACCTGATGTTTTAAGGAATACCTTTTAAATAGCTTCCCCAAACTCTTAAAACAACTTTTTAGGGATATTTGAGACATGAAATCCCTATTCCAATCCTGGTGTGACCACAAGTTTTAGACAGTGACTCACTTTATCAAAATTTCAAGCGATAGTTCAGTGTTAATGAATTAACAGCCTTTCAGGATGGGTGCCTGGAAGACATTATAAGAGGATGGTAGGGAACCCCTGTGCCTTATTTAAAATAAATAAATAACCCTACCACATTGATTAGCTAACAGTGTATCTAATGCAGCTTATGTGTTGAGTAATCACCCACTTGTATCTGGATATCTTCACAAATGTTGGTGGAAAGGTTTGTCAGCTGGCAGCTAGCACTACGTCTTGCCATGTATTCAATCTGTTCCATCACCATGTTGAGCTAGCTGTACCTTTTATTTCTTGCTCCCACTCTTGAGTTTGTCATCTTTCAAATTCACATGGTGCTCAAGTCCAGAAGCTACCTCCCCACCCTTACTGTTCATGACTCCATTAATTCAATGAGTCCGCCAGTCTTGTCTTCTCCCTTGCGCTTCCAAATATCCACATCTGCACCTATAGCACAGCTTGGGGGGAAATAACAGGAAAGAGAACAACCAAATATCCAACATATGTCCTTTGATTCTATTGCTACTCATTGAACTAGTAGACTTGTTGCCTTTCAGAATTGGCTTTCATCTGTTTAGAGCTTCCTATAGCTAAGGAAAGGAGAAGACTCAGGTTTTACTAAAGGATAACCCAGCCATTCTAATCAAGCTTGGAAGTACCCAGGTAGCACAATGATGAATGCTAATACAAATCCCAATATAAGTATTCTTCTTGGAACAGGAAGCTTTGCCCCTTCATCTATTTGTAAAATGCCTAGCATACCTTGGGTGGTGTTTTATATAAACAACATAGGAAAAGTTGTAGCATTTCTAGAGTAAAGGAATTTAGAGGCAAGATGATACAAGAGTTTTTAATAGGCAGATTTTTTAAAGGTAGCTAGAGAGTGTAGTCTACTGAGAAATACAACAGGAAGTTGTTCCTTGTGGGAAGAAAATTGTCTCCATGTGACACCCACTGCTTTTGAGTTCTATGAAGGCAGAGTGACCTTTCCCCATGAAACAACTTTCGAGACTGAGTCCCGAGAGTCATGATTTGAGATTTTGCAGTAATGTTATCATGCTCAAACTAAAACTAGAATCCTAGTTTGCTTTTTGCTTATGTGACCTGCATAAGCCATCAATTATAGATGAAGCTCTTAGGTTTTCTTAACTATAACAGAAATCTAGTGAACATTTATTTGAGTAGTTAATATTTAACACCTATGAAAGGAGGTTCAAAGCTTTTCAGCTTTTCCTGCACAGTGCCTAAAGGAATGAGCATCCTTCTGATTGATGGTCCCTACATTGCCTAGAAAAGTAATCTTGGGAATTGTGGTATTCCAGCTAATACCTTCTGAGAGAGAGAGCTGTTGGTGCAATGGAAAACATGATCATAAAAATAATGACAATACTGATGATGATGGCCTGATGTCTGTGAACAGACTTTTGTGTAGATTAGTTCTCATAATTATTTTCAGCAGGTACAGTTCTTCCATGGCTTCTAAACAGAGAATCTGCACATGGATATGCTCCAAATATACCACATTGCTGATGTTTATGTTTAACATTAACTTAAATAACAGCAACAAAACACAAACATCTGCTTAAGCTTTTTCCTCAAGTTTGGCTGTTCCTAGGAATTTCCCTGCAGGACCTCATTTATCATAGCTCCTAACTCCTCCTACCTTATAAGAGGGATTACAGGGTCTTTCTAAGGTTTTAGCATAATATAAGATCCTTCTCCTAGCATGAATGCTTCTGCACTTCAATACAATGTCAGGCACCTGTCAGCATGACTGAATGTCAGAGTCCTGAATACACAGGATGGATTCACATTTCTTTAACATGACACTGGTTGCTCTTAAATAGAAAGAGACTGTAACAGGTTTATGTAATATTCCTTAGTTGTGGCAGGGAGAAATCCCCCCCAATAAAATAAAATAAAATGAAATCAAATCAAATAAAAAAGAGAGCTCCCTTGCTCAGCTTACAGGTGTTAGATCACCAGAAGATAGTTATTAGAATGCCCCTCAATAACAGCCAAGCCTTGAACTTTCTTGGCAAAGGTTTAGCTCTGTGAATTGAAAGGTGAGTGTGATTTAGTAGTACACATAGGGTGGTACTTCCTGTGAAACAGTGGTAGCACTTCAGTGTCTGTGTACAAGAGGTCATGCCCAAGGACTGTTGTGTTGATGAGCTTTGATGACAGGATGAAAGTTAGTGCTGGCCTTTCAGCTGAGGTTGGTATCTTGTAATGGTGCTCAGATGATATAAAAAAAGAGTCAGTACCTGAAATTCCCTTCCTACAATGAAGTGTCTTTATATAAGAAGCATATTCAAAGGGATGTTCTTCCATTCTGCTGGCACATCATTATCAAAGCAGCAGTTGTCACTGCTGTAGTCCCACAATATGATGCATTCATCTTGAGTGAAAAGGTATTTTTGAGCCAAAGGAAGAGATTGAAGCACTGCTGACTTTGATTGCTGTCACCTGTTTCCCTCAACTAGCTGTCAGAGTTTATGACAGGAAGGGTGGGGTGAGATATCATAGATTTCATAGACATTAGGGCTGGAAGGGACCTCGGAAGATCATCAAGTCCAGCCCCCCCCGCACAAAGGGCAGGAAGTCAGCTGGGGTCATAGGATCCCAGCAAGATAAGCATCCAATTTGCTCTTGAAGGTGTTCAATGTAGGTGCTTGAACCACCTCTGATGACAGGCTGTTCCAGACCTTGGGGCTCGGACAGTAAAGAAATTCTTCCTTACATTCAG